CCTCCATCTCTGGCGCTGCTGCTTCTCTGGATAAGGTCCCACATTCTGTTTGTGTGTTCCTCTCTTGATGGTCCTAGGGTCCTCTGTTTCTGGACTGTAAGATTAATCACACCCCTTTTTTTGTTACAAAACTTCTACCTTCACAATTGTGACAGTCACAATTAGTCATGATAACAGTTATTCACTACTGAGTCTTACGAATTTTATCCCCATCTCCTTTCACCAGACCCATCTAGACAAACATTTTTTTAAGTCCTCCTCATATAAGAGAAACTTACATGGGTATTCTTTCTATAGTTTTGACTTGTAGTATGTTTGCGTACTCTTCATATGAGAGGAGTCCTGATGTGGCGCTGGTGGGTTAATGCATCAGACTGCAAAGCTGTTTAAACTGCAGGGTCGGCAGTTCAAGCTCACCAGCTGCTCCTTGGAAACCCTATACAAGGGTCGCTATGGGTTGGAATCAACTTGATGGCACTGAACAACAAAAACATATAAGAGAAAGTTACAGGGGTAGTCTCTCTATCATTTTGACTTTTAGTATGTTTGGAAATAAAAATTTCAAGATAAAAAATTGTTTACTCGAGTTTATATTATTAAGGAAATGAAAACTAAAAAAAAAAAAACAAAAAAAACTCTTCTATCACAAAAATTACTTTTTACCCATGGGAAAGTATATGGTTCTGGTGTGGTGCTGTATGATAAAAGTATTGGATCATAAGGTCGGTTTGAAGCACAAGCTGCTCCTTTAAAATTCTATACCAGGTTGCTGTGAGTCGAATCCGACTCAACAGCACTTAACAACAACACAACAGTGATTTTAAACAATCTTATATTCTAACAAGTTTAAAGTATTTTTAAATTTATAATGGTCAGTGTGCAAGGAGCTTACCTAACGTATTGATAAGAATTTCTTTACATATTTATATCCATTGTTTCATTTTCAGCAATAGATTGAAATTCAGTCTGGTAATTATCAGTAATTTATTAACTTCACAATCTCTTAAGATACCCAAACCAAAGGCAATTGTACTTGTTTTCAAAGGATAAAGAATAAGACCAGTTTGAAAAATAAAGATAATATGAGGTAAATTATAAGTACTTTGAATAGGATAGAGAAGTCTTAGAGTGGCACTGCACGATAAGTACTGAACTTCTAACTGAAGGTCAGCAGTGGTTCAAACCCATTAGTCACTGCTTAGAAACCCTAGATAGGGTCACTGTAAGTTGACTTTGTCGGTCAATTTGTCGTACTGTGGTGGCTTACATGTTGCTGTGATTCTGGAAGCTATACCACTGGTATTTGAAATACCAGCAGGGTCACCCATGGTGGACAATTTTCACATGAGCTTCCAGACTAACACAGACTAGGAAGAAGGAGAGACAGACTACTTCTGAATATTTAGTCACTGAAAACCTTATAAATAGCAGTGGAACACTTCTCAGCAACAGAATGTCGAGTTTTGAAACATGAACAGCACCAGAATATTGTCAAATACAGTGCCAGAAGATGAGCCTCATAGGTTGGAAAGCACTCAAAATGCGGCTAGGGAAGAGCTACCTCCGCAAAGTAGACTTGACTGTGATGACTTAAATGGATAAAAGCCTGGGCAGTGTTTCCTTCTGTTGTGCATAAGGTCATGATGAGTTGGTACCGATGCGTTGGCACCTAACAACAAAAATGAGTTGAAATTGACTGGGTGGTGCTTTAGCAGCAACAACAGTAACAAACAGGATATAAACTAAGTGTTGATGGTGTTGCTGGTGGTTGTGTGCCATTGGTTCCGACTCAGTGACCCTGTGTAGGGTGTCCGAGACTAAATCTTTGGTGGTGTGTTGATTATGTGCTGTGGAGTCAGTTTTGACTTATAGCGACTCTGCATAGGGTTTCTGAGGCTGTAAATATTTTTGGGAGCAGAAAGCCTCATCCTTCTCTTATGGAATGGCTGGTAGTTATTAACTGCTGACTTTGAGGTTAGCAGCTTGACTCGTAACCACTATACTATCAGCTCTCCATTACAGGAGTAGACAGTCTCATCTTTCTCCTGTGGAGCAGCTGGTGGATTCAAAGTGCTGACCTTGTGGTTAGCAGTCTAGTGCATACCCCACTATGCCACCAGGGCTTCCTAAAACACATATATAATCATTGTTGTTGTTTTTAACTGCTGTTGATTTGGTTTCTGCTCGTAGCTATCCAATGCTGTAAATCTTTATGGGAGCAGAAAGCCTCATCTTCTCCCAGAGAGTAGCTGGCAGACTTGAACCATACACCTTGTGGTTCTCAGTCCAGCATTTATCCTACAGAGCCACCACTCTGCCATAACTAAGTGCTTTGTTGTTGTTGTTAAGTGTCGTTGAGTCAATTATAACCCATAGCAACACTGTATCGGGTTTTTGCAGAGTGGCTGGTGAACTTGAGCTCTGTCAACCTTGTGGTACAGACTGACTTTGCAATCCAGCACATTTACCCACAGTGTCACACCAGGACTCCAACTAAGTACTAGGCAGATATTTAAGGACGGACAGTGTGAATACTAGTTGTACTTGACACAATAAATGTTTTAAGTAGCAGTTAAACTTGACTTGGCTGTTAACCCCTATATCAAAAGGCTTCAGAAAACTTGTATACTTTGATTTTTATAGTTTGTCTCCTTGTTCATTTTGATTTTTTAGTGCTGTCAGTATGTTACTACTCTTAATTTGTTCCCGTTATTTAAACAAGATTGTTACAGTAAGGACCTAAAGTAAATGTCATTTATTTCTGTATATAAGGCAATTGTTTTATAACATTAAAAAACAAACAAAAAACCCCTCAAGTTTCTTGCCCTTCTACAACATTTCAAAATAAACATTTCAAAATAATTGTTATGACAAAATGCATACCAATAAGCCTAAACAAAACAGGGGCAGAGTTTTGCCATTTTTTTTCTAAAGTGCTATTCCCTGTACCTCTTGTCATTTAAGGTATCTGCAAACTAAGTCTCACTTGAACTCACTATGTGGAATATGACAATGGTTA